TTACTGGTTTTTCTTTTATAAATTAAGCTGAAGAATCTGGATGCTGCCTTTGGTGGCAAACTCTTCTGCTATAACATGATCAATTACCTGTACTAAATGATTCAGCTCTCTGTGGAATAAATGACATATCCCTTTAAAAATTTACCTGCATCTGACAAAGTTTTGATTTTCTGCTGACTGATCTGTATGTTTTATTGGTAGATCTGAACACTTGCAGAGGATTTTTTTCCAATGATGGCCATCTGATGAACAAATCTGTCTCAAACTATGTTTGAAGTAGTTCCCTTTAACGAACAGTCCTTTAAAATAATAAGTATCAATGTTAGTTCTAAAGGGATCATATAATTCATTTTTATAACTGAGACCAGTAATTCCCAAATAGAAGTATAGCAAAGCCTCTAAGGGAGAGAGAGAAAACAGTGTAAAATATTAGATTTACCAAAAAGGCATAGGTTGAAAAAGGTTGAGAGAATCTGCCACAAGGAAAAATTATCTGGACACCCCTGGAGATCCTCCATCAAATGGAAAAAAGAAAGTTCACAAAAGTTAATTGATTAAAAAAGAAAACTAAATCTAGAACAAATGAATTTTAATGACTATTTTTCAAAGGATGATTAATTTGTTAATTATGAATTCTAAAACTAAAAGTTGGTGTATGGATGGTATAATATGGAGAAGACTGGACAGAAAGCAATAGAGAGCTGAGTTCAAGTCCCTACTCTGTTAACAAATGATGGGGGTCCTTTGTTGTTCTGGATTTCAGTTTTCTTATGTGAAAATGAAGGGGCTAGTCTAGATGATTGCTAAATGCCTGAAAGTTCTGCTACTCTGTAACGCCACAAAATGTTTTGAAAAAGTATTTTATAGGGTCGGTATAAAAGAAAGCATGTGGTACCTGAGGGATGATAGCTTGCTCTAACTAGAACCTAAGTCCTTGACCGTATGGCCAAGAGACTAGTAGATCACGCATATACACCAGAATCACTTGTGGGGCATCATCAACCTGGAAGTTCTCATTCAGTACATTTGATAGCACACCTGAGCCTGTGAAGTTTGAACATCTCACCCAGTGATTTTTGCTGTGTATCCCTTGTTCAGAATCACTGTTCCAGGTTCTCTTCTGACAAAATGCTTCTTGAGTGTAGGCTACAGACAAAGACTTACACTAACACAGGAAACAGATGTGACATTACAATTAATCTCAAGAAAGATCATTAGTTATCTGTGGATAAGCTAAATATTCCTGATGTGACTTTCACTAGATCAGAGCTTACAGATCTTAAACATCTGAAATTTTTTTGTGCTGTGACAACAAAAGATTAGGCAATAGAAACTCAGTTGGCATTGAAATGGAATATGTATGAAGAAAGAGAAACACATATACACGTGCTTAAATATAGCGCAGAAGCACACAAAGATAAGTGAATATGAAACTTTTAATCTCTAATATCTTTTGTTTGCTCTTCCAAATCCACCCACCACTTTTTTTCTTTCACCCCTGTCCACTCTGCTCTCTGCTCTCGGGGACTGATCTGAATGAACTGTAATAGAATCCATAGTCTCCGGCCAATGGGCAGCCCAGGAAGGATAGCACAGGAAAGGAGAAGAGTGAGTTCAGTGTATTTTTGCCCATGCATCACTCCTGGCAGGGTCATCTTCAGCTGGTGTGTCCCTTGACCAAAGAACACTGATCCCCCAGTGACCCCACTGTCCCCCCCCCCCCATTTATGGCACTCTGTGCTTTCAAGTTTTGATGATTGTCCCTTTCCTCATCTCTTGAGGGATGGTAACTGCTCTGATGCACCTGGCCCCAGTCTACTGCACTAGCCCTTGTGGCTTTTCTACATTTACACTTTATAAATAGACCCTTGTAAATAAGCCCTCCTGGAATTATCTTCTATTTAGCATGACATCTATTTCCTATTTATGGAGATCCTGATCGAAATGGTCTTTCATGTTAAAGGTGCCTTTGAGAATCTTTGATTAATACAAAGGAAGTAGAATGTGTGGAAACTTGAGCTGCAGTTTGGAAAAAAATAAATAAATAAATAAAAATAAAAAGTCCTACCTGATAAAAACAGTAAACCTCAGGAATTGATGAATAGTGTGGTAAAAAGTCATGTTAAAATTGAAGTAGTAGTGAATATGAGAAAACAAGATGTGGGTCTAATCTACGATATGGAAAAAAGCAAGGAGATGCAAATTTTAACCAAGTACAAATACCAAGTCACAAGGCTGAAACTGGCAGAGTTTCTTTATATGCCCCAGAGACACTTGATCTGTGCTATTGCATTCATCTCGGGGCAGCTCATTAACAGAATAATATAGGCAAGCTGGAAGGAGTTCATAGAGGAGTAACAAAACGATAAAAAGCACTGGAGGATTGACATGTGAGAAGAGATTAAAAAGATGAAATCACTCTGCTTTAGCTAAGTGGTGACTAAGGGGGAACATGTCAACCGTCTACAATTATGCAAAGGTTATAAACTCCAAAAGATAGGCAGTGATTACTACAAATCAAGGGAGCAGTGCTCTGTGGAAAGAGGAATTAAGAAAAGGAAAGTTTAGCTCAAATAACAGGATCATTTTCTAATGCAGAGCTATTTTATGTCTTGCAAAGCTAAACATTATATACTATAGCCTTTAAAAAAGACAAAAATGAAACAAATTACAAGCCATTAGTTAGTATTATGTATGTGGATTCTCTGTGTCTACCTATCTGCCTACCTATCTGTCTATCCATCTATCAATCTAATCTATCTGTCTGATCTATCTCTGGTCGATTGATGTATCTTAGAAATCAACGTTTCACAAACATATGTAGAAATAAAAATAATCATTGCTACTATTATATAAATTGTGTGCTAAACATTTAACAAGCATCTCATTTATTTGTTAACACTGCATTTTAACAATCAGGGAAACTTTAGGGTAAGAAAATTTGAGCAACATTCTGAAGGTCACCCAAGTAGTAAGTGTCAGAGCCAGTGTACAAACCTAGGGGCTTTTATCTCCATGCCTCTGCTTACAATCCCTGGATAGTTAAAATAATTTAGTACATTATTATATCTGTAAATTCTCTTTATTCTGTTATTTACGTGACTGTATGGATTACTGACAAATCCTATGAAGCATTTTGTTATGAATTTCCTTGAATAACCAATGATACATTTTCTGTACTTTGGAATGTGGCTACTCACGGCTCATGGTCATTATGTTTGCAAGGGGTAGTCATTTCCACAGCCAATTTACATTCTTGAACAATCCATGTGGTCACCGCCCATTCTAGCTATGTGGTAAAGCTTAAATAACTTCATTTCCTTATCTTAGACACCACTTATTTTTAATTTTGAAAAATAATTTCTTGATCTACTATTGTATGCAGTTGAAATTATTCAGTAAGTTATAATGTATTTATAAAGCTGCCATTTAAAAATATGCTATTGGGTTCTCTGTTTTAAAAAAATAATCACCTTTCACACTTAATTTAGTTAATTTGAGTTGGAGATATACTGAAAGAAAATCTTGCTCATGGCTAACATTTCAAATAGTACAGAAACCATAAAACGAAATGATAAGAGTCCTTTCCCCTTGCAACCTTCAACCTCTGTGGTTAGAGATAACCACTGTTAACAGTTTGTTTGGTGTCTTTCCAGGAATTTTCTAAGCACATATCTGTGCACACTTTCTTTTCTTCACTTAGGCATTTATCTTGGTTGTCTTTCCATGTCAACACATAAAGTGCTATTTTATCCTTTTTATTGCTGTAAAACATTATATTATATGGGTGTAACATTATTTGTCCATTTCACTATTGATGGATATTTAGATAGTTCCTAGAATTTTGAAACTAATCAATCCTATTATGAACATATATCTACATTTATCTTTGCATGCTTTTTCCTTACTCATAGGGCAAATTTCTAGCTGGAGCATTTCTGGGTCAAAGCATATGTATGTTTAAATTTTTTATAGATTTTTTCCCAATTGCTATCTCTAAAGTGGGTTTTACATTAATACAAAAATATGACAGTGTAAACAGGCTGCACAATTTAAAACTTACATTGAACTCCAAGATGTCCAAGGATTAACTTCTGCTTTGTGGATATCAAACGGCAATTTGCCAACGATGAACATTTTATTCTACAAAAATATTTCCCTCCTTTGGGCCCACCCAGGGACGCCAAAAAAAAAAATTTCACTCTTGGGCCAGGCTTACTATTGCTCGCCTATATTTTCAAGTCAATAATACATTACTTGTCTGAATTTTATTTTTCCATGGCTTAATTAAAAGCAACTTACTAATGTTTAACATAGATTTGACTAATTATTTGTTCCAGGCCTTGGCTTAGGCTATTTCTTCCACGTGGAAAATCCACCTCATGTATGTCAACCCTGCATGTCTATATCCTACCTACCCTTTATGGTTTATTTCAAATGATACCTTCACCGTCTAAATCATGTTTCTTTTCCTCATGACTCCCAGCATCTCTACTTAACCATTTAGAGTTCACATTATCCCTGGTAAATGGTAGCTATCGTTATTATTAGACATCAGATCTTTTCATTTCTATAAATATTCTTGCTCTCTCCTGTCTGCTGTTGCCTGCTCCAATGGATTGATTTAGCTCAAGCTATATATTTAATATTGTGATACTACTTTTATTTTCTTTAAAAATAAATAGTCCAAGTTTTAATTTTTAATATCAACTGGTTAAGAAATATTTTTATGCTAAAGTTTCAGATTTTTGAACACAGCAGAAGATGATTTAAAATGTCTCTTTGGAACTCATAAACACATGCAACTTTAAAAATTGAGAGTTAAATCTGAAACATGTTGGTGAGAGTAACATGGATGCTATCATATTAAAGGCCTTTGGAGGCGAGCAAGCATAGTTTACACGCCATTGGACCTATTTATAGAGCTGACTCCTTTTTGCAATGTCAACTGTAACCTTATACTTATTTTAAGCCTCAGTGTCTCAAATATCAGCCTCTACTAGTTGTACAGTTCTCCCTTATTTGATATCAGAGAGCCCCATGGAGCCTTCTGAAGAACCCAGTCAGATTAGCAAAGATAATTTTTTAGAAGTTCCTAATTTATCTGATTCTCTTTCTGAAGATGAAGAAGTTAAAGCTACCTTCAGACCGGGTTTCTCCCCTCAACCTAGCAGACGAGGTTCGGATTCGTCTGAAGACATTTACCTGGACAATCCACCTTCAGGTGCAAGAAGAGTTTCATTTGCTGACACCTTTGGATTCAATCTTGTGTCTGTTAAAGAATTTGATTGCTGGGAATTACCGAGTGGTTCAACTGATTTTGACTTAAGGAAGGACATTTTCCACACAGAAGAATATGTTTTATCTCCACTATTTGACTTGCCTTCTTCAAAAGAAGATCTTATGCAACAACTTCAAGTACAGAAAGCGATACTGGAGTCAACAGAGTATCTTCCTGGGTCTACAAGTATGAAGGGAATTATTCGAGTTTTGAATATTTCTTTTGAGAAGTTAGTATATGTGAGAATGTCCTTAGATGACTGGCAGACATATTATGACATATTAGCAGAATATGTCCCAAATTCATGTGATGGTGAAACTGACCAGTTCTCCTTTAAGATTTTATTGGTTCCTCCTTATCAGAAAGATGGCACTAAAGTTGAGTTTTGTATACGTTACGAAACTTCTGCTGGTACTTTTTGGTCAAATAATAATGGCACAAATTATGTATTGGTTTGTCAAAAGAAAGAACAAGAGCTGGAGCCTGTAAAACCACCGGAAGAAGTTCCTAATAGACAAATAAAAGGCTGCTTAAAGGTAAAATCAAGGTGAGAATATATCTTACATTCCTTACTTTTTATAATCTTAAGATTTTTTAAAATTTCATTTTTTGTTTTACTGGTTGTAGAAAGTAGCCATTCTGTTTAAAAATATACTGCATGTTATGTATAAAACAACTGTGCTAGGCTTTAACAAGGTCAATGCTATTCAAATGTAGCACTGTTATTTCTCCTCCAAAGGTAAGGGAAATACAGGTATAACACAATAGATGGAAGGGGGGTGGTGGGTGCAATGTGTATATTGCCTCCATAACCAGTTTAAATTGCTTAAGTTCAAACTATGGAATCTAGATTCAAAACATGTTTATATTGTCTTTTAAATAGTATATTCATTTTCAGTAGTTTTAAATGTTTTTGCTGTACTTCAAAACAATTCTGAATAACATAGAACTGTGTTTCAGTATGTGCTCAGAAATTCATAGACTTCCCCCAAAAGCTGTAACAACATTTTTAAGACTGACTGAGTCATACAGGAATGTTTGGAGTGATAACACGTTAAGTTAAATCGAAAGAGCTATGAGTTTAATGATAAGCTAAGAGAAAAACAGAAGTGTAGGAGTGATGTATGAATTACACATAAACATTTATAATTCTAACCAAATGTAACATTATGGAACACAAAGTAGTATAATTTAGAAAAAGTAAATGGAGCAGAATTTTTAAAAAATGACCCAAATAGAAATGAGGATATTAGCTTTATAGATTAGAGATTTGGGATATGACCCCTCATTAGTAACCTTGATCTCCTATTAATATGAAAAAAAACCCAAAAAACAAAAACCCTGGGTATTCAGCTCTCTCTATTGCAGAGCCGGCTAATTTCCATGACAGTAGGCTAGTAGGTAAAACATCTAGGAGGAGATGGACCGCTCCTGTTCCTCAGAGTTACCCAAAGGAAAAACCCACCAGGCCTCACCAGCCACAGGCAAATGCTTGCTTATCCTCAGGGTGGTTCATTCTAACACTCATTAGACCCAGAGATTCTAGTAACTGCACCAGAAATAGTGTCATGTGATGGAAAGGAAACTGTATTAGGATTCAAGACTCCCAGATTCTAAGAGGCATTAAATAAAAACAAAGAATAACATTTTTAACCTCTTATATTTTAATGCCTTGATCTATTTATATGCCAATAAATAATAACCACTAAATGTGCTATTCTAATGGATTAATGAACTAAATAATGTAGGTGGAACAGTTCAATCACACAAAATACTTCAATTTTCATTATCCTTTAAGGTCATTTGAAAGATTGGTTTACCTGACTTTGTCAATTATGCCAACTTTCTTTGTCCAAATAACTTTCTCAGGTTTTAATCGATGCTGTTATGAGATAAAATAATCATAATCTCTATGTGTTAAAGTAATAGTTTCGGTGTTTATGAAATTACTTAGCAACATGTTAGCTATGTAGACAAAATAAGTTCAACACTATTTAAAAAACTAATTTGTATACATAAACATACACATATTAACTACTTCACAAATGAGATCATCAGTGAATATCTAATAAACAGGCTGCGACTTGCCTTATATGTTAAAGAAAAGCAAAACTTAGAAAAGGCACAGCCTTATTGTCAAGAGACCTTATAAAAGAAGTCCTGTTCAACTCTGGATTTTTCTGCAAGCTAGAAATGCAGCTTTAAAATTACAAGCATTACATCTGAACTATGGTATAGACAGAGGATTCCTTCGATGGACCAAACATGATACCAAATACAAAAATGGGTAACTGCTAGGGCTAATCTAGGCCCAGTCATGATATTATTGAAACTTCTCCTAGTCTAAGATACGTATAACTAGATATATATTCATACACATATTTGTATTCAGAACAGTAATCATTGGACTCATAGCGGACACCATTCAAGTTTTAATATTGCTTTGGGGAAAAACTTGAGAAGAACTAAACCACAAAATGGTCTAAAGGCCTGTAAAGTTTCCTAATGAGTTATAAAAATGGAAAAAATCTCTCTCCTTCAAAACCACAAATACATTTTCTGCACTTCTATAACTTAAAAATGACCAACATAATTCAAACCACATTTTGAAAAAAAGCATTTGCCTCTGGAGGAGGCCTTTTGTGCTGAGTTTCAGTCCAACACGAATTTTTACATCTGATTTATATACCACTCAAAATGGAGTGTATAAAGGAAATCCTGACAGATCCGTGGAACAGCATGCGCCATAATAGAATATTTATACAGCTTTTCCATGATATAATTTATATGCAATGGGGTTTCAACTATTCCTAAAACTCACACAAGAGAGCATTATCAAATTTCTAAATGAATATTGCAGTTGGATTTCATTGTGAAGAATTTGGTTAGGGAAAAATTGCACACCTTATTAGTGTTCTTTTATAAAATGTCTACTTGGCTAAAGCAAAAATGAACTAATACTTATTTGATCAAAAAGTTAAAGCTTCTAAAATATCTTCCTCCTTTCAAAAGTTTACAGAATCTAAATGGGTCTGTTTTGAGCATTTCCACACTTCCTATGTAACTTAATTTGGAGCTCACTTCTTTGAGAAGATAAATACAAAAGAGAAATGTATGTGAATTTTTACTTCAAACATGCATGTAGATTCATAATACTGTTTAATATAAATCAAAGTTAAACTGAAAATAGGTCTGTCTTAATGAAGAGAGTAACAACTAACCTGAATTTCTCTTAAAACCAAAGTTAATTTGCTATCAGGGTCCCAGAGATTGTATCTTGTGAAAGTCTCAATAACCCCTCCTAATCAGTACAGAATGAACCACAATAACACATTTAGTGAGGCAGGATTTCTTTTCTGTCAATCACCCTAGGTGATTTTCTCTATGGAGCTTTTTTTTCAGGCCAGAGATTGCAAATCTCCACATCGATGTGGTTGTTTGTTTTCTTTCTTATTAATCTATCCACTTTGGACAGAAAGAAATATTTAGAGGGAGAAGACAGAGTTTGTAACTCATAGGCATGTGACTGAGAGTGACCCAAAGGAATTTAATTGCAATGAAAGGCATGTATCAGGAGATACCTGCTGAGTGTCACCACATACGTGGCCCTGGGAGTATGTGTTAGCAAACAAACTAAGCAGATTTCTGATCTACATCTCATAGGTATTATTTCAAAATAAACTATCAAAAGAATTAAATAACATTAAATGTACATAGATAAATAAGCTAAAAATAGCATGCAGAAGCAGTTAAAGTTAAAATTGGGGGCTTCAGAGTTACACGTATCTGGGTTTAAGTCCAAGCTGCACCACATGCTAGCTGTGTGACATTATGCAAATTAAACTTGGTACCTCTTCTGTTAATTGTGAATAATAATGGTACTATCTCAAAGAGATTAAGATTTTCATAAAATAATACACATAAAGTTTTGGCACTGTGTCTGGCACATAGTAAGTTATCAGTAAATGTAAACTTAACTCCTATGAAAATACAAGGCTAACTCTAGCTTTAGATGGATCTGAAAAACCCTAGAAAGGCTCAAACTACCCAAAAGTTCCTCTCCTCTTTCCTTTCAGGGTTTCTAAATTTTCAGCTTTAGAGAGACATTTGTATTTTGCAGGATTTTAACCAACAATGAAACCCCACTGAATAGTAAAATTTTTTGAGATGTGTCATCTGAAACATCTTAAAGGTGGAAGAGATCTTAATGACTATGAAAATTTCCATGTTTAATAGATGAAAAAATGGAGGACCAGGTCAAAAGGGGTAAAAATGCACTGATTCTGGCATTGAATGGACACACATGTTAATCCCAGTTAATACATGCCTAATAACTATGTGGCAGGGACATATTATTTTACTTCTCAAAGTCTCAGTTTATTCATCTGTAAAATAGGGATTAATAATGCCCAATGTTATAATGATTAAACTAAAGTAAAATGAGATTATATTTTTTAAGCTTCTAGTAAAGTGTTGGGCACATACAAAGTCGTCACCAAGAGCCACATATTAATTGCCATCATTACTATCAAATCGTGTTCAGCTAACTAATTTCTTGGTATTTGGACTGTGTTATTTCTCCTGACATCACAGTCTTCCTTGTTCAGGTTTCAGAACTCATTCCACAAGTGTTTATTCAGGGCCTGTGTGTCAGGTACTGTGTGGTTAGGCACAAGGCTGGAAACATGACCCCGTAGAAAGGAGAGGCCCCAAGGGAACAGGCCTCACAGGGGGCTAAGAGAAGAGGTAGGGGGAAGAGAACACTGAACCCAAGCTCAGATTCTTTGGGTATACATGGAAAGCCATGGATAAAAAATGAAAACCACTTACAATACATTTCAGTTTTTCTCGAATCCATGATCTATAACTGATCTTGTGTACTGGCCAGGGGACTGACCTTTTCAGCATTATTTTTTTTTTCCCCTCCCAACAGCTGCTAAATGTATGTTCCCAACCATTGGGTATACAGACTGACTTCATCTGGTTTTGTATTTTATTAAGTGAAACCAATTTATTATTTTAAGTAATGAAACGACATGATATAGGTGTTGGATGGTATTTATAACTTGGCCAGGTGAATGCAAATAAATTCCTGAAAGATTTCAATGCCAAGGGAAAAAAAGCGATCAGTCTTCAATTTTTGTACCTGAGGAATAGAACCCAGGCACATTCACGAACAGCAAAGAGAGAGATACTTTGTAAAGCACAACTTTAAGATTGCAGAAAGTTTATCTTTCAGGGTGGTAAAATTGTTAAAATGAGGCCAAGAAAAGCACTGGAAAATGGGGCATAAGGTATGGTCATGCTGCGTGTTCCAGTCAGAGCCATAGGATTGTGAGACTTCCTTAATTTACACTTACAGTATAATCTGGGATCCTGGAAATAGTCCAAAGACGTGTAAATAGGCCCCGCGAGGCCTTTAGGATTTAATGTATTCTGTAACTAACCTGTTTTGAGTCCACACTAATTGTGGAAGCCTGGTCTGTTTAAGGGAGGGACCTCTGGCAAGGCCAGACGGTAACATAAAACACAGCTGCACAGGACCCG